GGATAAAGTGGATAAAGAATTTGTTGTACATATAAACAAAGTAGTATTACTTGGCCATAAAAAAAGAATAAAATCTACCCTGGCTGGTATGGCTCAGTGGATTGAGTGCCAGATTGCAAAGCAATGGGTTACTGGTTCGATTCCCAATCAGAGCACATGCCTGGGTTGCAGGCCAGGTTCCTAGTAGGCGACGCATGAAAGGCAACCACATATTGATGTTTTTTTCTCTCTCTCTCTTTCTCACTTCTTTCTCCTCTCTCTAAAAATAAATAAATAAAACCTTTTTTAAAAAAGAATAAAATCTTACCATTTGTGACAACATGGATGGACCTACAGGGTATTATGCAAAGTGAAATAACCCAGACAGAGAAAGACATCATATGATTTAACTTATAGGTAGAATCTAATGAACAAAATAGACACACAAAGAAATAGAAACAGAATTACAAACACCCAAAACAGATTGAAAGATACCAGAGGGAAGGGGGCACAGGGATGGGTGAAATGGATGAGGAGATTAAGTACAAATTGATAGTCATAGAATAGTCATATGGATATGAAGTAAAGCATAGGGAATATAATCAACAATATTGTAGTGACTATATGTTTGGTGCCAAGTGGGTACTGGACACTTCGTAAAGTATGTGATTATCTAACCCACTAGGCTATACACCTGAAACTAGTACAAAATAATGTTGAATGCAAACTGTAGTTGAAAAACAAAATTTTACAAATGGTTGTCCTTATTTTAAAAAGGAGAAAGTCATTTGGAACTTGACTAGTTAAGGACAAAAAATAAATTACAAATGTTTCCAACACAAAATTTGGATCCACTGTGTTTTTATACCCTAATGAGTTTCTTTTCATGACTGAAGGTCTCCGTGTCTATTTGTGTATTTCTACATATATATGTTGTAAATGTGAAATAATTTTCTACCTCCAAATTGTTGAAATTAATTTAAAGGCAAGCACTTTCAAAAATTGAATGTTCTAAAATTCTCAGAACTATAGAAACTAACTCAAATGCTTTTCAAGTTTACATAATCTAAGATATATCTTTAGTAAATAAAAGTTAGTTTAAGTTGTTTAAATAGAACAGATATGTCTTTTAAATTATTGATAATATTTATAATTTATATTTATATTTTACTAGGGCTTTATAAAATAAATCCATGTTAATAATAGACTTTGATGTCTATAAAATGTGCTTCTAGAAGTTATAAAATATTTTCATATATTTGCCAAGCTAAAGAATGCTGATTACTTCCTAGTTTTCAGAAAGTGAGGTTTTAAGGGTTAAAATATTGATAAATGAAGGAATAAATTTGTCATGTTCCAGAAGGGCCCCTGGATCACCTCAGAAAGATTGTTTTTTTCTCCTTACAAAAGAAAAATCTTAAACTACTCAGGCTTGTTTTTTCGTGTTGGATTGTATGAGACGCATTGTAAGGTAAGTGGTAGTTTTATATGGGTAAATTATGGTTGTAAATTAGACGAACTAACCAAGGGTATGGGAAACCCAAGATATTCACTTGGTTCTTCCTAATTCCCCCTTTTCTTTCAGTTTTTACACTCTTTATGCATCCTGGTGCATTTAAACTAAATTTAAATTAGATAAAGGAATTTATGAGCTGACATTACTGATAGGAAACATCTTACATATTGCCAAGGTTTGATGAAGTCACTTCAGAAAAATGCCAGATAGGTAGCCTCTTCCTTTCACAGCAAGCTCCCAGGGGATTAAGGCTCTAGAGTTCACTGACTGCCACCAGATTTAGTTTTTCTTAGGGGAAGGATATCACTAAGACATTCTCCCACTTCATTGGAAGTGACCTTATCAGCACCTGACCACAAAGGAACATCTATCCTTGTCTCTGAAACTCACCTCCATGTGCAACAGACACCAAAGTCTACTCTAGGATGAGAAGATGCTAACATCGGAGGCAGACAGGTACCCCAATACATAGTTAAGACCTGTACACATATGGATTGATATTGAACTCAGAGGATCCATTGTTTATTGTCTTTGTCTGTCTGTTAGTGATATTGTGGACGATACTAAGCCTAACAAGCTCAGGGGAGGCCTGAATGACAGACCTTACAAACTCAGATGCTGAAAGTAACCACATGGGATGGTTTTAACATAAATATTCATAACCCAAAGCAGGTCATGGTGGGCAGTCATGTCCTAGGCCTGTAGTTTCCTTGACAAAGGTCAATCTTGGCCTTAAGTGAGACTGCCTATTGTGTTTTTGCACCTAAGATGACATTCCTTTGAAATGTCAGAGTCTTCTTTTCCAGACCCCTCAATGCACCACGGCCAGGGCGGGAGCAGGAGACCACCGAACCCCTCACTGTCACTTTGTTGCCCACGTACCATCTCTACGTGCTGTGCATGTCTATCATCCCATGTCCACCAATGTACAAGAAGTGTGTGTCCCTCCATTCTGTTTTTTATTCCATCCCAGAGACTTCCCTGCTTTGCTTTCTCCTGCCCCCTTAATCAACCACCATGGATTTCATGTAACCCTCCTTGTTTTCTAAGGCACTGAATAAGCTGCAAAACTGGCATTGTCAGGGGCCTTTTCTCAATCTGTTGAGATGTTGCTTCCCAGCTATTGTCAATTTGGGTCAAATAAACTCATAAAAATTCTCTATATGGTCGAACATTCCTTATATCAGCATACTAGTCATAATAATAGTTACACATATTCTTTGGGCTATTCTATATAGTCCAACTGTTATGATTACCAAACATGTCTAAGTCAATTGTTGACATTTTTATGACTTATGTAAATGTTATACTGGATGTAAAATACAGGAAAAATGAGACAGAAGGCAAAACTGAGATCGTGATCTTTTACAGAATGGAAATCATCCAAAGTGTGCTTTCTCACTAAAGGCCGAGTAAGACCTGACTGGCTTCTATTTACCTGTGCTTCCCTTTTTAAGGATATTCAGCCTTAACTCCCATCCCATGGTTATACTACTTCCACATTCCCAATGGCCCACTGTCTCAACATGTTAACCTATGGTATTGTCACCAATTCAATGCCAACAGGGATTCTGAACTTGGGGTGTGGTGAAGAAGAAAACTTTGTTCAATACAAATAGCTCAATTGCGAAGCAGCAGGGCCATGGGGACGCCCTGGGGCAGGGAGGCCCTGGGGCAAGGCAGCCCTAGGGCCAGGCCCCTCTTCAACTATACAGCTCTGCTCTGCTCTGGGCTGCTCCACCTGCTGCAGTCCACTCTGCTCTGCCCTGTTTTGGTCTGCTTCACTCTGCTCTGGTGAGATGTCTTCAGAGCTTTAACTCTCCCTGGGGAAATGCAGCCTTCAGTGGAAAAGAAAAGTGCTTTCCCAGAGCTGGAAGAGAGCTAACTTACATAGACAGAGTCCTTGACCTTGGTCCTTGATTGGTCCATCCTTACTCAAATGAGGATGCCAAATCCTCACAGTTTGGTCAAAAAAACTGTTCTGGTTGGTCAGAATGGAGCTGCTCTGATTGGTCAGTGACTATGTTGATGGAGATATAACTGTGTAGCTCCAATTGGACAGGAAGGTCTCAATCCTATTGGTTGAAATAGGATTCTAGGAACTCCTTTATAAGTACTGGCTCACGTGGCACTTGAAATACAGGAAAGCAGTTCAGTGCAGGAGGCAGGCACTTTAGTGCAGGTTTTCCCCAAAGTGCAGTTTGCATGAGAGGCCCCTGTGTAGAGATGGCTGTTAGGCTCTATTTTTAAAATTTGATGCCAGTTGGCCACAGGTACTCTTCTTAGTAGGTATCTCTATTGTGGTGTCCACAGGGAGTAAAGGCAGGGGGTATTTATGAGAAAAGTGAGGGAAACAATTAATGAATAGAAGGAGTTTCTATAACTGCATATTAGCTAATATAGTGATGCTAATTCTAAATAGTGTGTTTAATTTTTAGCTTGGCTTCTTGTCATCTTTACAAACAATTGTTTGGATACAATGCTGCTTTATGCCCAGTCCAGAGATTATTCTGGCCAGTTTGAACATTCCAAAGGTTTGAGGAATAAGTCCTGCAAGGCAGTTTCCCTGGTATAGCAGCTCAAACTCCATTAAAACATTTTTTTAATTTATTGATTTTTGAGAGAAGGGAAATATCAATTTTATTGTTCCACTTATTTATGCATTGGTTAGTTGATTCTTAAAAAAAAGATTTTATTTATTTTTTAGAGAGGGGAAGGGAGAGAGACAGTGAGAAAAGTCAATGTGTGGTTGCCTCTCAAGTGCCCCCTACTGGGGGCCTGGCCAGCAACCCAGGCATGAGCCTTAGACTGGGAATTGAACCAGCAATGCTTTGATTTGTAGACCAGCACTCAACCACTCAGCCACTCCAACCAGGTTGGTTTGTTGATTCTTGTACGGGTCCTGATCAGGGATCAAACCCACAATCTTGGCATATCCTGACAGTGGTCTAACCAACTGCCACACCTGGCCAGAGCTCAAACTCCACTTTAGAGTACTCCACTTTAGAGTGCCTCTGTTTATACTATTTTTTCACACCTTTAAAATAATGAACAATTTATTACCTACTGTTTGATTCAACCCAAAGTTTCCTACTTACAGCTGTCAACAGTTTTACTGACGTTTGATTTTTCTTTTTCACTTTTTCAATAGCTCTTCTTAGCAATGGGACCAAAAGAAGATTAAAAGGGCAATGGAAAGAGACGCGAATTTCCAAGATGGTTCTCGCTATGTCATCTCTGAGCGCCTCGCATCAGGACCGACAGCCCAGCGCGCAGTTTTATTACTCAAGGGGCTCCAGCCACCCAGCTAAGTTAATCATCGAGCTGCAAACTCCGACCAGCCAAGCCCCGCCCCCACGCGCCTTCCGGACGCTGTCCACTCTCCCGCGCAGACGGGACTCTGTATCACGGGAGTGCGCATGCGCACAGCTTTCCACTCGCCTCTTGGCTCTTTCCTAAGACTTGCCCTAAACCTGGTACCGCCTTGAAGGCGGGGCTGGTTCCCAGCCTGGCCAATGGCTCTCAGGGTGAGGGTTGAGGGGTGGGAGGTGCCTGCCAGCGGATGGTGCAGGATTGTTCCCTCGTGAGTGCTGGGCTACCAGGTGGTCATGGAGGTGGTCTCTCTCGAAGAGCTGGACGAAGAGGAGCAGCTGGTGAGAAGGCATCGCAAGGAGAAGAAGGAGTTGCAAGGTAGGGCGGAGTGGGAACCGAGACGTCACCGGACAGGCCGGTTCTGGGGGATCTTGGGCTTGGAATCTGCATCGTTCCAGACTTCCAAAGTAGCCAGTGGCCTCTTCCCCTCCGCCTCCCCTGCCCTGGCGGACCCTTAATGCCCTAACCTCCAGTGGCTTTCTCTTTCCCCAACCCCGCCGCGGTCCCCAGCCCGCCGCCCCTCCAATGCCGGTGTGAGAACACTCCCATCCCCGGTCTCCCTTTCTCATTCCAGCCCCAGTCACTGACGCTTGGCCCTAAATGAGTGCTCCTAATATCTAACCCCAATTTTAAGTTCTTAGAAGAAGTACTGAAAAGATTTAGAAACTAAATCATTTTTTTTCTTTTTTTTTCTCCTACCCCAATACACTCGCGATTATGTTAATGAGACTTGAAGGGGAGGGGGAGGACAACTCAACTTTATCTGGGCTGTTCTCTGTAATTGTCTGATTGTTATAAAATTATTCTTGTCTACATAATTACCTTATCTATATTTTCTCCCTTTATCTTCCCCTCATTGTTCCTAATCGCATCAGGGAATTGTTTCTCATTTCCTCTTAATCTCTGGGTTTTTGACTTGAAGTTTTTGGTGGCTTTTCAGCCAAAATTCAAGGTATGAAGAATGCTGTTCCCAAAAATGACAAAAAGAGGAGGAAGCAACTCACTGAAGATGTTGCTAAGTTGGAAGCAGAAATGGAAAAGAAACATAAAGAGGAACTGGAGCAACTGAAGCTGACTTCTAAGGAGAGTAAAGTATGCCTCTTTTTGCCTACAGCATTTGAAAGCGGCTGCCCACTTCTGTTAAACTGTTTACTATATAAAATCATGCACTGGGAGGGAAATGAAGTCACCGATCATGCGCATGCATTACCTTTATTGTTGTTGTGACCAGGTTTACACACGTGTTTTGTAAGGGAGGTCAGCCAAGGAAGTGCACTTTACCCATTTACTTGCCCAGAAGATGAACAGATTGATCACGTGGGCTAGAGGAAGCTTCCCCAAGTGAAATTTGGAAGTACAGACATGTAGTTCCAAAATTGCCATTAAATGTGGTTGTGACCCCCGCCCAGTAAAACTGCTTAAACTTCCTGAGCATAAATGTCTCCACATATAATGATACAGATACATCTGCTGTTTGTGTAAAGATTTTGTATGAATCAAATGGGACAATGAATGTGAAATCATTTTAAGGTGTAAAAGTGCTTTATACTCAAGTTGTAATGAATGAAGATTTATTGATGTTTGTTGGGTAAATCGGAGTATACTGTCATCATTGTAACTTATATTTACTTTATTGTAGCTAATATGTGTTGTGTGCCAACTTACTGCATGCAGTAGTATCTCATAAGTTCTCATAATAATACACTATGAGGTATTACCTATGAAGTAAGTGTAGATAATGCCATTTTCAGTGGGAACAGACTCAGTGTATGAACATTGTCCTGAATTCATAGCATCCATTAAGTGCCAAAGCCAGAGCTTAGGATGTAAATACTGAATTTTTTAAAATTTATTTAATTTTTTTAAAGATTTTATTTATTTATTTTTAGAGAGGGGAAGGAGAAAGAGAGGGAGAGAAACATCTATGTGTGGTTGCCTCTTGCCCGCCCCCTACTGGGGACCTGGCCTGCAACCCAGGTAGGTGCCCTAGACTAGAAATTGAACCAGTGATTATTTGATTAGCAGTCCAGCACTCAATCCACTGAGCCACACCAGCCAGGGCTGAATATTGAATTCTAATTTTGTATAGTGGTGGTAGTTTATTGCTTGGGTTTTGAATATCAAGGATCAGACTCCATAACCTCACTCTGTATTGGTAGTTAGCAAGTTCTTGTGTCTATGCAAAATTTTTCTGCCATAATTAAATTTTACTTTATTTGGTTTATTTTTGATCTGCTGTTGACAGAGAAAATGGCTTGTCTGTACTGATTTATGATAGAATATTAAACATAGTCTTATTTCCTTTAACTTTATTTTTATTAGCCAGTCATAAGATCCTGGCCTCCCATGCCCTTAACATATTTTATTTCCAAGTCACAAGGCTTGGTGCTGCCAGGTGTTTAGCTGTGATGTCACAGTCATGGTATACCTGATTATCTCCTGACCTTTCCTGTTAGTGAGATGGTTTTCTTTGCTCTCTCAGGCTTTTTAGTTTTAAGATTTCTTTCCTAGGTTTCCAAGCACAAAAATGTTTGATTTTTAAGCTACATATTATCCAACTGTAAAAATGCAGACTGCCTTTTTACTTTGAACTATTTTCATTTTCATTAACTTAAGCTTGTCTTCTTTCTAAAAGCTGACTGAATTCTTATGTCATTGCTGTCTCATTTTTTCCAGATGCTTCTCTGCATCTTGCCTATTGTCAGTATGGCAATTTATACATTTTAACAGATTCCTCTGAAAAATGTAATAATACTAATTTCACTAAAGTTGATAACCACTCTTTGAAATCTTAATCTGATTTTGATATTTTGATCATTTGGATGGCCCTGGAGTATGCTGACTTTGCTGGTATTAGAGGCATTATTTGCAGTAATAAAATACTAGCTACGAATCCTGGTAGTTATAAATCTAGCATCTTTTTTCTTCAGCAAATACATAATCCCCATTTAATGATTAAGACTGGTTGTAATATGTTAATGATATTTGTAAGTTAAATTCTATCTATAGCTGTCAGATGGGAAGGGATAGAGGAAGCTCACCTCGTTACTGGGGCCAAGAAGCAGTGCTCGGCGGGTTCCCGTTAGTTATGATGGAGAAAGACCTCCACTGCCCCATCTGAGGTTATGAAAACAACACAGGACCTGTGTATCCTGTGAGCACGGTCAACATTCAGAGAAGGGGAGGGGAGGGTGCAGAGTGAGTTGACCCCTAAAAGAAGTATTTAGATGAATGGAGTAGGCATGCTAAGGTGCGAGGACAGTATGCAGGGATGAGGGTTATCTTTGAAGAGCCATAAGGAAACTTCCCGGGAATCTGACAAATTCTCCCTTACAAATAGAGAAGGGAGACAGCTATGCTATCTCATATTTATCTAGTGCTGTTACTTAAATTTGAATTGTGGGATTACACATATTTGTCATTTCAATAATAATGTAGTAATCTAATACTCGGAGTGTTTTTTATTAATGAGTTACTGCTTTCTGTTTTTTTCAGAGAGACTTTGATGCTGTTAACATTTCAAACTTGGTTCTTGAGAATCAGCCGCCTCGGATATCACGAGCCCAGAAGAGACGGGTAAGAGAGTCCTGTTCCAAGTGTTTAAGTTGGTGCTGTGTGCCCAGCACTGTCCCAGGTGCTACACAAGCAGAGAGTGGGAAGGAATGATGGGGTCGCTTGTGAAAGGGCCTGAACTAACATTTATGAAGCGCTGGCAATCTGCCAGATAATAGGCTAGGTTTATAAATTATATGAAATCTTTAGTCCTGACAATAATCCTATGAAGTAGGATTTCTTATCCCCATTTGATAGAGGGAAAATAGGCCTAAGACAATACACAACAACATACTCAGTTTGCAGTTCTTCTAGAAGGATGGGCTAAGAAGGAGGGTGTACAAAGGATATTTTTTACAAACATATTACCCCAGTACTAATAATGCAGAATCTTCACAGTGTGGGCCTAGGTGATTCTGGTGCACAACTTGGCTTAAAAACTATAGTAGTAAATGCTGAAACAAGGATTTGAACCTACAAGTTAAGCAAGATACATAGGTGTACACAATTTTCAGAGAATTATGTTTCCTGTGTAATGGTTAATTACAGTGAAAATTCACAGCAGTGTTGATGAAAGAAATTACAAACCTAAAGAAAGTTTATTTTGACCCAAGGCTTTGGAGTTAATTCTAGAAGCATAATCTCAAAGGATTGAGATAATGCTCTAGGAGGAAGTAGCAGTTTTGCAGGTTATTTTCTATACTGGAAGCAAAGGAGAAGACATAAGAAAGGTTATGTAAACTCCATTGGTGGCAGATTCAGGAGGCAAAAGAAAGTCAAGTAGGAGATCTCTAGGACTGGGTAAAAAGTAAAATTGAGAGATACACCCTGGCTGGTATAGCTCAGTGGATTGAGCGTGGGCTGTGAACCAAAGGGTTGCTGGTTCGATTCCCAGTCAGGGCGCATGCCTGGGATATTGATGATATCAAGTGATATCATCAGTATGATAGTGCTTGTGGGAAAAGGGAGGAAAATGGCAAAAATGGTTTGAGAATTTATTTCTATCCCCTTAGTAAGTGTAAATTAGTCCTAATTATGAATTCACTTACTACATTGTCCTCCTGTTAGGTCCCCAGTGGGGTCTACGTGAGAGGCAACTACACATTGATGTTTCTCTCCCTCTCTTTCTCCTTCCCTTCCCCTCTATCTAAATAAATACATAAAATCCTTAAAAAACATTTAAAAAATGGAGAGATACATGTTTCTTTCTTATTGGTGGATAGTTGACATTGGTGGATAGTTAGTCCTGGTGGATAGTAAACAAACATAGTTTACAGAGGTTTGTAGATCAAAGATAAGGATGAGGAATGTTGGGGTCACCTGGCCCCATACCAGGGTGTTTACCTGTAAAGGTCTGGAGAAGAAATCATTCTGACATTATCGTGTATTACTCTAGATGCACAAAAACAGTGGACAGGGCTTTTTCAATGTGGAGAGTAATCTGTCTTATAGGCCTTAGGGCATGACTTCCCACTATAACTCACTCAATTAGAAAATTTTTATTTTTATTTTTTACTTTCATAATCAAGACATCCCATGTGGTTATTTTCAGTTATTACATGTGTCAGGCTTTCCGGGGCAGCCCCTTTTTGTTTGCAGAAGGGAAAGTTCATTGTGTTAAATAATGAGTTGGAATTTAAAACAAATTTAGTTATTTAGATAGGATATCTAAAGTAGGAGAAATAGCATAGACAAAAATGTGGAAATGAAATTTTGCATTATCAAAGAGCTATAAAGAAACTGATTTATGGGAATTAATGAGTTCATGATATCAAAATTATGGGAATGAGATTAGATAGGTAAGCTCTTTCACCTTGAAAAAGAGATTTAAATCCAGTCTTTTTAGTCCCAAATATTGTTTTACTAACACTTGATATTAGTGTTCACAGTAACTCGATGAAGTAATACTGTTTCCCTCCATTTATACATGTGAACCCAAGGCTTAAGACTGTTACCCAAAGTCACACTGTAAATGGGATTAAAACCCCATCTAGTCTAACACCCAAGTCTGTGCAATATTTAATAAGATGCAAAGCCAGGCTCTGAGTATACACAGATGAGAGAGGTGGTTTGGTGGGGCAGAGGGCGCAGGCGCCGCTACCCCGCCGCCACAGGAGGGCTGACACCTCCATTTTCCCCTGTGCACCCTATTAAAAAATGAGAAAGAAAGGTAGTTTGCCTTTAAAGGAGTTCACAGGATAGAAGATTCTGCAAGTGATGAGATCATCAATATGATAGGGCTTGTGGGAAAAGGGAGGAAAATGGCAAAAGTGGTTCGAGAATCCTATATTTTTATCCCCTTAGTAAATGTGAATTAGTCCTAATTATTAAGAATTCACTTTACTACATTGCCCTCTTCTTAGGACAGAAAAGCTGCATTGGAAAAGGAGCAGAAAGAAAGGATCGCAGAGGCCGAACTTGAGAACTTACATGGAGCCAGACATGTAGAAGGTGAAAAACTCGCTCAGATACTGGTGGCTCGACAGCTGGAGATCAAACAGGTGCCGTCGGATGGCCACTGCATGTACAGAGCCATTGAAGACCAGCTGCAGGAGCGGGAGAGCCCTCTGACTGTCGCTGCCTTAAGGAGCCAAACCGCTGAATACATGCAAAGCCACATGGAAGACTTTCTGCCCTTTTTAACAAACCCTAATACAGGAGATATGTACACGCCAGGTAATTCAATTTTCTTTAATATGTCTTGATGTTTCAATTGTGGTTGTCGTCATCGTTAACTAAAGTTCTTCCTCAGATGGAGACTAAGACAAACAGGTATAGTCCTTTGGGCAGAAATACCTCAAAATTTAGGTAGAATTGTCTTCTGTAATTTTAATAGTAGTACATTTTGCTTTATTAAATACCTAATTATTTTAAGTACTTAATTATTTCATAGTTTAAATATATTGATCGTTTTATATAAGATACTGATGCACACAAGGGAAATGCCTCCACAGTAGCAGGCACTTTCCAATGCCGTCTCTGAGAACGGACTTTCAGCTCGTTTGTACTTTTACCGATTCTCTTCTCACAGTTCTTGTGGTCTTACAGTGGAGCAGGTTTTATAGAGGCCACCTTTTTTTTTTTTTTCAGTGTATTCTTTCAGATGCAGGTTTAGGCTTTAAAGTACATGTCAAGATAGTGAATAAGGTGACAACTGTGGGGACTCATTGCTTAAGCTAAAGAGAGGGAAGTAGGCCTGTCACGTAGTGAAGGTTGTTGGGTCGCAGACTGAGGCAGGAAAGCAGAAATGCTTCGCTTTCAGATGATAGGGTGGTGGAGAAGGGTAGTGGGTTAAGTTTGGGTCTGGGAAGTGGATTAAATTCTGGAGGGGTGCCGGTGGAGAAGGAGGAAGTTTCTAGCTTGAGCAGTTTCGTCAGGAATTGTGGGAGCTCTAAAAGGGATTTTGTAATAGGAGTTAAAATTATTAAGAGCAATATTCTGTTAATTCTTTACAGAAGAGTTTGGAAAGTACTGTGATGATATTGTAAACACAGCTGCATGGGGAGGTCAGCTTGAGGTAAGTGTATAATTATTTGTAGTGATTGTGGATTGTTAAATTATTTCTAAATCCCATCCATAGTGTTCAGATACTTTTTAGATGATCCCAGTTTCTCTTTAAAGTTTCCTTTTCTTTACATAGTTGCTATTTCTCTACTGACAAAGCATTGAACTAAGGAGTTAACATTCTGAGGCATTTCAGTATGTACCTTGAGGAAGTGAAGCGGTATTTCATTTTAAATAGCCCAGTTTTTGATATGGGTTGGTGAGGCCAGTGTCACATCTGCAGTAAGTGTTTGCATTTGTTATGTTGCTACTGGATGTATATTTGATTTTTTGGATTTATGAAAGTTAAGATTTTACTTCAGTACAGTAATATTTACCCTAATGATTCAACTGACGAAAGTCAGTATTGGGAAAGTAACATATCCATTACATCAGATATGATAACAGTATTCTTATGTGAAATTGCAGTCAGGTCCTACCACACACATCTGTTACAAATGTGTGATGAATTCCTCACTGATAGTGACTGAATGACTTGAAAACATTTTTGAAGCATTAAAATGTACACATTAAGAACAATACATTTTGCCCCTTATAGGGAGTTAATCAGTGTATTTTTTTTAGCTCCAACTAGTTATCTTACTTTGGTAACTTTATTACAATAAAACACCTAAGGGGTGATGAGGCAACCTGGGTTATTAGAAAGTCAGGAGATAAGAGGGTAGATTTGGGGTTTAGGTCCTGGCTTTTCCTTCCACTTCTTAGTTTTGTGACCTTGTGGGAGTTTGTCAAACTTCCGAGCTCATTGTATGGGGGAAATAAATACCCTGGGTGTAGGTCATTTGTGGTGGGCACTAAATAAGGCAGGGAGTATATGCATAAAAGTTTGTAAGCTAAAATGCCAGGTAAATGAATCTAGCAGTATTATTAATACTGTGTAGCGATGCGCTGGCTGGTGTGGCTCAATTGGTTGGAGCATCGTCCTGTTCAGCAAAAGGTCACGGGTTCAATTCCTGGTCAGGGCACATGCTTAGGTTGTGGGTTTTGTCCTTTTTCAGGGCTGATGTTTCTTTCCCTCCCTTTTTCTTTCATGCCCTTCCTCCCGTCCTTTTTTTTTTTTTAAAGAACAATAGCATGTCTGCAGGTGCAGATTTAAAAAAATATGTGCAGTGAATATATTAGTCATCTTGAATAGTTTGTGGCTTTGAGTACTTCACTTTAAGAACTATGTTATTTAAAGGTATGACATAAATGTTTCTTCAAAATCGGATTTGGAGTACCTCTTCTGAGCCACCAGAGGGAACTGTGTCCATGCATTTTGTGGGGCTCTCCCGGGTCTCTCAAACTCAGGAAGTTTTTATAGTAGCTTTGTGATCACATTTGGAGTCATTAAAGATACTTAAACTTCCTTTTACGGATCCCAAGTTAATATGAGAATTAGAAACCCCTCTCTAAATTCAGAAAAACCTTTTAAAAATTGTTTGAAGGACATTTCTCCTAAATTGTTCATCTCCGAAGCCATTTGAAATAAGATTTGCTGTTTTCTCAATGAGGTAAATTTAAATTATGATTGATGAAATCTTCATAGGATTTCTGAAGCCTGAGAAGATTTCGAGAGCTTTCTTTGCACCCTTCATTTCAAGCCAGCTTTAAAAAAAAGTTAGGTGTGAGAAAAAAGTGCCCCAAAGGAACAGTTTGTGAGATAGAGTATGAGATTAAATTTGCCACTGTGAAAACATAGAATCTTTTTCATATTCCTGAAGTAATTTCTTTACTTTGCTCAAAACCTCCTAAAAGGACCATGCTTTGGATGGAATGATCTTTTAATGGGGCAAATACATAGATCAGGGCCCTACATTAGACACTTAAATGATTGCTTTGTTTATGAACTTCCTCAGTTTGCAGGTCACTTTATTGCCTTGTGCTTGGCCTCAGTCAGGCCTCTTGCCCTTTCTCTGCCTCAGATTCTAGGTTTTTAAAATTAGTATAACAGTAGTACCTATCCCATGAGGTTATGTGAGGATCGTATGCATTAAGGACTATTACTCATTCAGCTTTATGCTCTAATTTTATATTCTAAGGCATGCAATTCCTTAAATGTGTGCATGGATTGGAGGGAAATTCTAGGAAAGTGAAGCACAGTTCATACATGTCTCTCATCTTGTTTGGGCCTTGAAGAGCACAGCAGCAGCGCGGTCTGCACCGGTGGTGTGTCCTGTCGCCCGAAAAGCTTTCAGGAAAACACACCTCCCGTTCTCTGCTGTTCCTTCTTTCTCCCTCTCTCCCTCGAAATTGTTATTGGTTTGGCTTGGTGCTTTAACAGTGGTTTTTCAAAAACTTTTTATTATGGAAGTCTTTAATTATATTCAAAAGTAAAGTAGAGAGCCGGGCATAATGAACCCAATACGCCCGTCCCCTCCTTTTATTCAGCAGGACATTGGTATTTCTAAGAAGCTCTTGTGTAGCCAGGGCCTGAAACTTCTGCATTCGGTGTAATAAATATCGTATTTATTTGTTAATTTGACAAATTTATATTAAGTGCCTACTGTGTGCCAGGTTCTCAGTGTGTGGTGTGGAACAGAGAGGATCAGTAGCTTATAATTTCAATGAGTTTTATATTTTTATTTTTTTTCACTAATACGTTTTCTTTCCTATAGCTAAGAGCCCTGTCTCATATTTTACAAACACCAATAGAGATAATACAGGCAGATTCTCCTCCTATTGTAGTTGGTGAAGAATATCCAAAAAAACCATTAATACTTGTGTAAGTACCTAGAAATGTCTACTGTTATATTTTTCATTAAGACAAACAGGATTATTAAAAGACTTCAGGTTGATTAATTTAAAAAACTATCTTCAGTGGAATTATGTTTATTTTATGTTAAAGGCAGTTATAGAATTAAAAGCATTGTCAAAATACGTGATTTGGATAGTTGTTTGAATCTATAATGGTTTATTTTTGTGTATGAATTAAGAATAAAGTCATTTCTAAAGGTTAGAAAGTTTTAGGATTAGTTTGCTTGTTGTCCTTGGTTTGCCATTGAAAATGCTAAAAGTTTTAACAAGTCAAAAGCTGAAATATATTCATGTTGTCTGTTTGTTTATTCCTTAGAGGTTCTTTCTTCATATTGTAAAAGTATTTTACGTGATTGAGAAATCTCCTCTGAAACAGCAGGAGAGTTTGCTATTGGCTGTTAGTGCTTATTGGCTAAACCTCCTACGATGGTCATTAATGGCCTGGGTTTAGGTGAAAATTTTAAGCTTACTGAGCACTCAGCATTTCAATCCTTGTTTTTCCCCTCCAATGATTGTGCTTTAACTGACCTGTACTCAGCACAGGGTTGAAGGTCGTACTGAGTGCTTATGCTTTTCACATGGTGTTGAACTTTTAAGTAATATGCCTATGTAGTTTGTTAAATGGCAACCTTTGTGGAGTGATTCATTCATGGTGCTTGGATTTATATGCATAATAAATACTTGTATATAAGGAATTATCTTCACTAAAATCACTCATTTCTTTTTTTTTATTTCAGATATATGAGACATGCATATGGCTTAGGAGAACATTACAATTCTGTTACATGGTTGGTGAACAGAGCTACTGAAAATTGCAGCTAGTTTACAAAATGTTGCACAATTGTGTTTTAGTACAGTGTGCTGATATGAGTATTCATACCAAGTGCTGGATTGTTCTAAACATTACTGAAAAACACAACTACCTTAAATCAGTTTCATTGCAAAGCTGCTAACAAGAAGTTTTTTTAAAAAATGTCAGAGATAAACTTTAACCAGTGTCACCATGGTGGTATTTTAAAAACACTTGTAAGTGCATTGTGGAGAACATCGTTTGTAGACCAAGATGCAACCCTATTTGCTTATATTTTTATTAATATAGGATCCTGAACATTCTGTTGAAATAAATCTTAAATGTTTAAAAGCTTTCAGTAACCATATCAATGTAATTTTTCTGGAAGGAATGAGATGAATCAATTTCCTTGTCATTACAGTAATATGGGGATGGTGATAGCAAATTTAATCATGCTTAAACATGAACTTGATTGACCTTGGCTTGGTGGCTCAGTTGGTTAGAGCATCATCCCGAACGCCAAGGTTGCGTGTTTGAATCCTGGTCAGGTCACATACAAGAAGCAATCTGTGAATGTGCAAATAAGTGGGACAATAAATCGATGTTCTTCTCTTCCTCCTCTCTCTAAAATCAATAAATAAGAATAAGTAAATAATAAACTTGATTGCAGTGACCTTGGTGTAGATGGGATTACTGCTGTGAAGCTTTTTTATAACCCTACCAAAGTGAAGCTAAGAAGCTTGTTTTAATGATTAAGAATTTTAAAATGTTTTTCCCCCTCTGAGAATCAGTTGTTAACCTTTATGAAATGAGACAAATTCAAAGGTAAATAGGTGTTTCCTATCAGATTTAAACCTCCTAAGAATTGCGTATTAGCCTTTTATTTGTGTGTAATTTTAAAAGACTCAACAGATTAACGTCTAATTTATTTGTTACTACTTGCTGTTTCCTAAACAGTGCAATTAATATCATCATTTCTTTTTTAAAAATTTTCTTAAAAATCATTTTTTATTTTCAATTAGAGTTGACATACATTGTTACTAGATGCAGGTGTACACCCCGGTGATTAGGTATTGTATAACTTAGTAAGTGATCATCCACTAAATCTCTCACCCATCTGACACCATTCATAGTTATGAGATTATTACTGACTGTATTCCCGATGCTGTACTTCACATCCCCTTGACTACTCTGTAACAAACAATTTGTACTTCTTAATCTTTTCACCTTTTTTGCCCATCTCCCAACGCCCCTCCCATCTGGCAACCATCAAAATGTTCTCTGTATCTACGGTTCTGTTTCTGTTCTGCTTGTTCATTTATTTTATTTTTTACATTCAGTTATTGATAGATATGTATTAGTTGCCCTTTTTTTCAAAATTTTGATCTTAAAGAAGATGCTTTAACATTTTTGTGTAACACTGGTTGGTGGTGATGAACTCCTTTAGTTTTTTCTTGGCTGGGGAGCTCTTGATCTGTCCTTTGATTCTGAATGACAGCTTTGCTGGGTACAGTAATCTTGGTTGTAGGTTCTTGCTTGACAGTCTTATGGACATTCCCCTGTAGGTGACTAACTGCTTTTCTCTTGCGTGTTCTGTAATCCACAGTCTGAGTTTTCTTAGGGGTCTGAAATTTATAAAATAATGAAATTTTAAAGTACTAAATACCTTGGCTTTATTTTGAAGTAATCTGTTACTTTAAAAGATAAGTATTATGAAGTAATAAAACAAGGTATTATGAAACCTAGTAATTATAAATTTCATCTATATTTAAAGTATTGGAAAATACTTTATTAGCAGCTCTTTTTTTGCCTAACAAGTGGCATTTTCTTGATTATAGGTTTATTTTTTATTTTTATTGTTTTTAATTTTTAAATGGTCAATATTGTTATGAATAATATTTATATGGGTGTCTTCTGTTCTTTCATAGAACTTCAGATAAAAGTGATTGTAGTTGTAATCTAAAACTGCAGTCTTTAAAAAATGGCAGATGTTAATTTAAAAGCAGACATACTAGTTCAGTTTGCTCTATGATGATTTCATAAGCTTTCTTTTCATAAGCTTTCCTTTTTGTCGTAACTCAAAAAGAATGTTGGAGTTCTGGAATATGTGTTAAGCCAACAATTTTATCCAGTTAAATATGTTTACAACTTGTATTAAGCAAAAAAAAAAAAAAAGGAGTGTGTATAACTATAGTGAACAATATTGTTTTGTTCATATTATGTTTGCCAAAAGAAGAATAAAAGATGAATTAAATAAACATTTGTTCAAATTGTTATTCATGAATAATGTTAGAATATTGACAGAGAAAAAACCCACAGGAAGATTAAAGATGTTTTCTAAACAACGGATGAGAGAGCTTCTAAAATTCTTTATTCTACAGAGGTTTCACATGGGAACCCAAAATAGAGAAGGGGTCACAAGGAGATTATGGGTGTGGCCTTTGTCTGAAAGAATGAAATAAACTTATGATAAATTTTGGACGTTTTTAAAGGGATACCAGTTTAGGGTCAAAAGTGACAGTAGGAAGTGAAAAGAGGGTCCCTCATAACCTGCTGTGGGAATGTAACTGATGCCGCCCCTTTGGGAGACAGCCTGGCTGTTCCGAAGTTACCGTAGGACATAGTAATTTCTCCCTAGATACATAACCAAGAAAATTGTACACAAGTGTGCATAGCATTATTTGTAATAGCCAAAAAGTAGAAACAATTTAAATGTCCATTAACTGATAAATGGGTAAGTATTTTTAGACCATCAAGAGGAAGGACATACTGGTACATGCTATCACATGGAGGAACCCTGAAAGCGTTATGCAGGTGAAAGTCACAAAAGACCACATATTGTCTGAGGCCATCTATGTAAAATCTCTAGAATAAATCTGTAGGTGAGTGGTTGCCTTGGGCAGGAGCAGATGGGAGGAGTGGGGGAGTGATTGCTAAAGGACACAGGGTTTCTGGGGATAGTTGCACAGCCTGGTGAATACACTTACACCATTCAACTGTACACTCTTAAGTGGGTGAATTGTATGCTATGTTATAATGCAAAGTTGTTACCCGCCCTGCCTGGTACCCCACCCCCCTGCAAAATTCTTGAGTTTCTATGAACAGGAAGCAGTCAGAAAACTACTCAGTAAACAGCCTGTGTGTTAACTGGAAAGAAAGAATAAATCAAGAATCCAGAAAGGAGAACCAATAGCCAGTCTTAGGCAGTAGAACTGAACACTAATCAAGGGGCTAAACATGGACCTAATTGGGCTCCAGAACTGCTATGAACCAGTGACTGTTTTGGGTATCTTTTTCACTTTTTTGAATGGAATTGTTTATTGCCTATTCTATGTTCCAGCCATTGTTAAATTCTGGGCATATAGGGACAGATAACTGGTTTTCTCGGGTCACAACTTCAGATCAAGATAAACTGTACTTGATTTGGACTCAAGGAACTGCCCCAAGGAGTACCATCCACCTTTGTACCTGATTTAGATGACAGCATTTGGGGATCTGATGCTCTAAATAGATGAAACTTTTCAGGAGAGGGGGCTCTTGGGAGAAAGGGTCACTATTGGGTGTGTTAGAGGAATGTAAATGACCCAGGGCCCGAGGGTGAACTGCAGTGGCTTTTAAGACACATCCACTTAGTGTCAAGAAGTGGTCTAATTCCCTTTTCTTTTATTATGGGCTAGACTCAGTGACTTGCTAATAACATAGTAGAATGTGGCACGAGTGATGTTGCATGATTTAGAAAGCTAGGTCATGAAAGTGATAGTCGCTTCATCTGCTTCTCTCTTGGGATGCCAACACTTTGAACGAAGACACCATGTTGGGAGGAAGCTCAAGCCACATTGGAGAAGCTACAGGGTGGTGTCATGGCCCTAAGGACCCAGCCAACACCCAGCACCTACCATTAGATATGGGTGAATGAGCCTTTAAATGATTTCTGCCTCAGCCCTGAGTCACCCCAGCTGTTGCCAAGAGACACTTTGACAAGGTGTTCCTACTGAGCATTGCTCAAATTGTAGATTTGTGAATAAAATATTTTAAGCCACTAGGTTTTACAGTGGTTACCCAGTAATAGGTAACTGGAACAGGTGATATTAATAGGATTGAATGCATGTTGGGAGTAAGAGAAGGAGGAATCAAAAATGCATACCAGATTATCTAGGTTAATCAAATTAATAGAAAGCAATATCTGATTGTAGTGGCCTGCTCACTTGTTTCAAATAAATTACTAGCATTTGGATAGTTTGGGCTGAGGTACTGGCCACACAGTCACTTAAGAGGAGGTGAGTGTCCATGAGACACTTGTTAAACCAAAGCCCTGTGATCACTTTGCTTAGATACTAACAGGATGGTTGTTCTTAGGAAACTAAAATATTATCAAAGAAGTTAGAAAATAGGATTGGAAGAGGTAAGACAGAACAGTGATTAAATGATCATACTGGCAACTGGAAGTCGTTATGAGTCATCACCTCTTGTTTTACTGTTATGATATTGATGTTCATTATAATAATCTATGAACTTGATTCCTCTTTATGACTTTCACCTCTGCTTTACCCTCATACTGGAAAAGCCCTTGTTTCTAATACCAACTGGTCAGCAAGCCTCTCTCTGGTCATCCTGGGCAAGACTGCAAACTCTTTATTCCCACCCTCCCTATTTTTCTTACCTGCTTTATGAATTTTTTTTATTCCTTAGCACTTAATACTAACATACTAGATTTACTTATACATCTCGATTTTTTTTCCTCCCCTACTGGAATGTAATTTCAGTGAGAGGGATTTTCATCTTTTCAATTCACTGCTTTATCACTAGTGCCTGGAACAGTATCTAAAATATAGCAGGCACTCCTAAACATTTGCTGAATAAAGAATAAAGTGGTTTTTGAAGGGAGGATTGAATTACGTTCTGAATATTTTCAAGTCAGAATGTATTTTACAGTATTCAAATTTTTGCAAATAAGCAATCTAAATATATATGCATATTTATATATATAAATATATAAAATCTCAAATGTCTCCAAGCCTTGTAACTGGCAAAATGGGATTCTAATAGTAATCAAATGTCACTGGCTCTAGCTCCTCCCTCTTTCTCTTGTTTTTGTGTTTGTCAATCTTTTATTTGGAAATTTTTAAATATATAGAAAAAATAATGAGAATAGTATAATTAACCCCTATGACCCATAACTGAGCATCACTAGTTTTTCAATGTTTGGTCAATCTTGTTTGATTTATTTCTTCCACCCCCCACCATCCCCTCCACTCTCCTCTCCTCCAATTATTTTAAAAGAAATTAAAGACATGAAATTTCACCTGAAAATTTTAGATGCATTTCTAAATGTTAAGTACATTTAAAAAAAAACACACTACCACCATTCTATTACCACACATAATAGAATTAGCAATCCCTGTCATCTAATACCCTGCTGTGATCAAATTTTCCCAGTTGACTCCATGATATATATTTTTTCAAACCAGGATCCAAACAAGTTTACACGCTGCATCTGGCTATTATTCCCCTTAAGTCTCATTAATTTCATACTAGTTCCCCCTCATTTTTATTAATGCCACTAATTCATTCGTTAAACCTTGTGTCATTTGCTTTAGAATATCCCACGTTCTAGATTTGGCTGCTTTCCTGAGATGAATTTAGCTTGTTTTCTAGTCCTTATATTTTCTGTCATTAGGTCCAGAAACATGATTAGATTCAGATTTAGGTTTTTTGATAAGAATATTTTATAGGTGGTGCTGTATATTCTTTACTGCATCACATCATGAGACATAACATGTAATTAATGATCTAAAATTATTTAGTGAGTTATTAGTCTGATTATTTATAAAGTTCCTCATCAACATCTCACCTAATATTTTTAGCATCCAATGATGATCATTGTATTTCCCATTATTTCATTAGGATTTGCTACAATGGTGATTTTTCTAAATCTGGTTTTCCTTACTTATTATCTTCAGGTATTCTTTGAATCATAACTTTTTAAACTATTAGGTTATACTAAAATGCACTGTATACTGAAAAAGCAGAATAAATGCTTCATTTTTTTCCTTTGTCAATTTTCAGACTCATGAATTAGTTCCCTAGCAAGTCCCAATGTAATCAGTAAGTTTCTTTCATTTAAAAAAATACCATTATGAACTCTTAGGTGTTCATGCATTTTAATGTGTTTCCATCCACTCTTGATTATTCTTCCTGATCCTCAAATTGTCCTATGTTAGACCAGTGGCAGTCCTTATAAATTGGCTCCTATGTCCTTTTGATGTGATCTCATTAGTCTTCAATAACTTCCGTGTCTCTGTCATCATGAGATGTCCTAGGCTCATCTTGTACATTCATCACCCCACACCTGGAATCAGCTATTTCCCCTCCTTACCTTTTAATCAGGAAACTATTGGTGCTGCCCACTTTCAACATGGTAGATCTCAGAATGTTTTTGCTTCCATGACTCAACAATTATGCAGTTAGAGATTCTAAAGATGCATAATAAGTAACTTAATCCCTAGTGGTTATCTTCTCCTTTTCCTATTTCTCTTCCCAGCCCATGGCTGAAAGGTTGTTAGTAAGAGCATTGAATGGTGGTGAAAGCACTAAGATTGTTACCTTGAATGGGAAGAAGATGACTAAGATGCCCTCAGCATTAGAGAAACTGCCGGGACTGAAGGCTCTACACCTTGAGAATAACCTGATCTCCAAAGTGTGCTCAGAGATATGCGCCTTGACCCAGGTGAGGAATAGCATATCTTTTAGGAATGAGAATGGAAAACAGGAGAGAAAAGAGGAGAGAACAATAAGGCTTCAATCTGTGAAGCTTTGTCACAAAGACATCAGGAGACCTTCTCCCTCAGGGGATTCCATGTGTTAGCAGAAGAACACGTTTCAACTTCCTCAAGTTCTCTGTGACCCACATCTGGAATCAGAGGATTAGGTCTCTGACACATTGTCTTTCTGAAGGTTGTGTTCTGGAAAGGCTTGGGAGTCTGGGTTTGAGGATCCCCCAGGTTCTGTTCACACTGAGGACTATTCTGAAGCTTTTGCATATGGAATAAAGACACATTTCTGGTACAGGAAAGGGGATCCTTTTCGGTTTCCTACAGCAGGCTGAAGTTTGAAATGAAGTGTTGGCAGGGAATGGGAAGGAGGGGACATTCATTTCTTTTGAAGTAGTTTTAAATCAGTTAAATTCATTATTAAAAGTAAAGTACAATTTATTTAAATAAATTCTTTCAGGACAACTGTATTCGGAAGATGCATTTGCTATTGCACTGAACTCTGGTCTTAAAGATGCCACAGATTTTTTTAAAAGGCATTTATAAGAATTAGCAGAGTGAGCCATAATGCTGCCATTCCCCATATATCTTGGCCACACACTTGCTAATTAGAAAAATGTAAAACCTTACTATTTTTCTTATTAATTTGATTCAGTTATTTTGGTTAAATAGTTTGTGGACCCTGATGCTGTATTATGTACTATGTAGGTATAGCAAATGGGAATATTCACTGTCCTTAAGCAATTTAAAGATTAATATTTCAAATACTTAGCTCAAACATATTTATGCATGTTATCAGAAAATTATCTAACAGTTTGTTCCAAAATGGTGTCATCAAGCCACGATTTAATTCAGAGGACTTTCAGCTTGTTTTTTTTGATACTTGCAAAAAAATTTTTATCCAAAAAATAGTCATGGATATTATTTTTAAAATCACATAAATAATTGAAAGATATAATAAATAGCAAACAATTTTCTAGTGGTAATTAAAAGCTACAAACACAGCATAATTAAATGTTAGAAAAGTAGCCTGGTCCACATTCTAGGTTATGATAGGTACTACATTGAATTAAATATAGAGTTATTGAGAATGAGTTTATGGCTAGAATTTTAAAAAAACACACACCACATAACCCATTAGAAGGAAGTGAATCAAACTTGGCAGTTTGGAGCTGACTGAACTCTATAGATACTTAATTTTGAAAAAAAACAATGATGTGGAAGGATAATGAGTATTCCACAGCTGAACCATTACTTTACAGAAATGTTCTACGCAGGCAGCATTCAGTTTACTGAGCAGCTATTATATTCCAGGCACTGTTCTTTGGATGCTAGATAAATCACATAGAGATCCCGTCATCACAAACTTTCCACCTAATAGTACAGGTAAAAAGAAAAAAAATGTATACATACACATGCATACTTGAATCAGTGTAACACAAAGCAGATGATAATCAGCCGTAGTGCCTTGCAAGCATAAAAGGATAGCTTCATGGAGAAGGTGGTACATGCCAGGGGAGAGCAATTAACACAGAAATTTGTTACAGCAGTTGGAAAGCCAAGGTATAGTGATAGTGTGGTGGGGACAGAATCCTGAAACACATTTATCATATAGGAACAAACAAACAAAAATTTTCAGCAAAATTAACAAATTAACATAAGGGTTTATGGTTAACATTTCTCTCTTTCAAAAGTAGCTGTGCATGTAGAAATCTTTGAAACACTGAGTTAGAAGTCATCGAGAAAACAAATGGCTTTAAGTTAGAAAGCCGGGTGGAAGTGTCAACACACACACACATGTGAAGAACCTATTGCACTTGCAGCTCCATGTGTGTCATCTCGGCAGGCAGACTTCTGCTGGGTCTAAAAGGTTGTAGTTGGCATTTCATAGGATCTACTGTTTGCCCAGCACTTTGTTGTATCATCTCTGATCCTTAAAACAGCCATGAGAAGCAGATGCTACTATCCCCGTTTCAAAAACAGAAAAGGAGCTCTAGCTGGGTCACTCGGTTGGAGCATCATCCCATGAGTCTGCACACATGCACAGGTTGCAGGTTTGATCCTGGTCACGGCGCATATGGGAGGCAATTGATTGACGTTTCTCTCCCACATGGATGTTTCTCTCTCCCCTCTCCCCCTTCTCCTCTCTCTAAAAAATCAATAAACATATCCTTGGGTGTTAGTTAGAGTGAGTTGTCTGTGATCGCTTACCTAGTACACTACCTGGCAGATGGTCTAAGAAGCATATGCTGTGCCTTCTGCATAGTGCTGACTAATGAGTGTGTGAACAGATAGAACAACTATATTTAAAATGAGAATTCTATGGATTGCACACAAGACAATTGTATGTGTTATATGAATGTTATGTGTATATATGTGCTTATATATGATCATTCTGAGCATTAGTAAATTCTTTTTAAAAATAGGCAGCACATTATTGTAGATAGTGTGGTATAGAAGTTAGAGTATAGGCTATAGAGTGAAGCTATATTATTTCACCATTAATTGTAGCCTGGACCCCAGATCTCTTTTCCGTACAGTCAGGGGTATTGTGAGATCCACATGAGGCAATGTATAAGTCTGGTTAGCACAGTATTTGGCACACATTAAATGCTATTTAGCCCTGGTTGGTATGGCTCAGCAGATAGAGTGCCAGCCTGCAAATCAAAGGATCTGATTTGATTCCCAGTCAGGGCACATGCCTGTGTTATGGGCCAGGTCCCCAGTAGGGGGCACTCAAGAGGCACTGCACACTGACGTTTCTCTCCCTCTCTTTCTCCCTCCCTTTCTCCCTCCCTTCCCCTATCTCTCGAAATAAATAAATAAACTTTTTAAAAAATATTATGTAAATTTTAGTATATTGGTACCTCGGTACTCATTCTTAATTCGTTCTGGAGTGCAGGAAGAGTGCCAAAACTGACAAGTACAGAATGATGAAGCGTTTTCTTTTGTGGGTGGCATCATAACTCACACAAGTTCTAGCAAGTGCGATGGGTCCCCAGCAAGTGCCGAATGCTGGGACATTTTTTTTCTTGTCAAAATGAGATGAGTACAGGGTTTGACAAATTCTAGAGCCAACGAATACCAAGGTATGACTGTATTATCATTAACAAATCAATCAGTACTTTTTTCCCCCTCAAACTTCTTCTCTCCTACTTATACAAAGATTGCTACACATGAAATCTAGATGTCATAATCCAAAGGCATCAGTGGACACTGAGATGCTTATTTCATATCCAAGATGTAAGAAGAAACACACATATCTCCTTCAAGGCAGGCCAAAGATTGGATATAACTTAGAGGCATGCACGGGTCAATGCAATCAAATACATTTAGGAAGAGCTGGGATAGAGGGACACTAGGACAAGTATACAAAGATGCAGAAAAGGCTTCAGGAAGGATGGCAACATTTAGGAATATTGGGTGAAGAAATTCCTCATCAACTGTTAATTTGGGCAGCTGTTTATATACAATCTAACAGGATTGAAAAAAGGGAATTTAAATGATAGCACATCCCATTCTTTGCATTTTTCAGCTATGTAACACCATAAATAAACAATAATGATTCCTAGTATTAGAGTGATTGTGAATGGGATAAAACTAAAAAATTACATCTAGAAGGAGTTTTGAGAACAGGATTTGTCAACTGATTGAATTTAGGTAGAGAGAAAGAAGCTAGGTGATTTCAAAGGTGGGCTACCAGAGTGTTGGGAACTGCCCTGCCTGGTTTCAGAAGCTGTAACGCCCCCCATGGCTAAGGCTGAGTTGGCAACCTTTAGACCAGAAGCCACTGAGGAGATAAAGCTTACCTCCCTGGCAGGAGCTGCTTCTGCTCCTTTTACTTCATCCATAACTGGTCCCCCAATGCTTTGTCAGTTAGCCAATGACAGGTAAGATTCCCCAAAGGGGGGAATGACCTGAGACAGGCATGATCACGTGAGAGGCCCCCTAGGAAGGACTTTGGGGGGGTACAGCAAGAGGGGGTGATGGACCCTCACCCCTCGGCTTTGACAAAGCCTGAGTCCTCATTCTGTCTGCATGAAGTCTCCTAATCTCTTGGTTGCCTTACTTCCTCTGCCTAACTTAAGCCTGAGACAATGACAGAGGGTGGTGCCACCCAGTGCTGGAAAGGGCGGGTTTCCCAGGCAATCAGGCCTTAGAAAGAATATGTAAAATCCTGTGAAACCTGCTTTATTTAGAATGCTCTCAATTAAATAAGGGTCCAAGCAAGAAGTGAGTTTGTTCCTCAGAAGTTTTATTGCTCTTTAGCTATCTGACCCTGACTCAAAATAGGTCCTCAGAGTTCTTTGTTGTCTATTGTTTAATCCTTGGCTGACAATGATTAATGAGCTTTACCTGTATTCTTGTGCAAATGTACCCAATAACAGCCCATTGAGGAAAAGACTCTTGGCCCTTCTCCTTTGAGAGACTGGCCACCTTTCCTCCCCAAGCAGATCACATCTTGGTAGACTTATTCTCCTGTGTGGCGGCCAGGGAGGCCCTGAGGGCGGAGCTCCCCCCCACCACAGCATTACAGGAGTGGTGAGTGCATTAACCAAAGTGCAGATGGGAGAAACAGAACAGGTTTCTCCATCGACTTTGTCCAGGTTTAGACTTTGGATTTAAAGTGACGTCACATACACTTGAGATGTCTTTTGAGCCCAAACCAAAAACATACAATTTTTATAGGGATAACTGCATTTGAGTTAAGAAAATAATTTAATTACATAAGTCCAGATGTGGCTATCTCCCTGACTATTGATTTAGCACCTTTGTCACAGATAAGATTAATTTTGCACTAACAACGGACCCTGCTGACTAGAGTGCAAGCCAGGATCAGCTGCGTTAATGCCAGTGTAGTGATCTGCCTGAGGAGAACTCTGTGGTCCCACCAGCATCTGCATGATGAGATCACAGTCCCTGTCTCACCTGAGGTGCCATGCTTTCAGCGAGAGGT